CTTCTACCTAACTACCAGTTGGAATCAATTAATCTGCATTTGGGGGAATCATTTGCATTTGGAATTAACCTGCAATTGGAATCAATTAATCATGCCAAAAGGCAAATATCAAGAGAAGAATCAAGAATTCCACAAATGCCTAGGTAAAATTATATGCAATGATGTCATATTTGACAATACCTATCTAACATTTTCAAAGATGCATGATATAAACATCGCATTACAGTTCAACATAAACAGGTGAATATTCTCAATTTTGATGACAGGGAACATTGAACCCCAAATAAATGAAATACCCCCCAAAAAAAAAAGAACTCCAATCTTTTCATTAGTAGACCTGCATTTTTTAAAGTATACTCAATTATTTTTCTTTTTTAAGTTTTGTCAATAAAAATGTGGAATTCTTTTTCCCCTTATTGAATATTCCCTCATGGATTTTGCCTCTTGTCTGGCAAAGACTAAGATATTTACTATCTGGTTCTTTATAGAAAAAAAAATTCTGATTCCCATCCTTAGTTCAATACTGGCCACTGGCCAGGGCCCATACTACCGACTGCACAGGGCACCTGTGGGACTGATCCAAATAGCCCTGCAACCCTTTGAAAACTTAACTGATGTTATAACAACACCTTGCAGAAAATAGGCTGGACCTGTGTCCTGAACCTGCTACAACAAAACAAAACAAAATCAACATTCTTACAATTTAAACAAAGCCCAGAGTCTCATAACATAATATTACAAATACCCAGGACACAGTCCTGAGTTACTTAGCATATGTAGACCCTTGAGCATTTCAACTCACAAGAAAACACAACCAATAGATTCCAAACCAAAGATGAAAAGAATGTTGGAATTATCAGTCAACATTAAAGCAGCTGTTATGCCAGGCTTCAAGAAATAAGGGCAAATTCTTTTCAGACAGATACAAAGATACAGAATCTTAGCATAGAAATAAAAGATATAAAGAGGGACCAAATGTTTATTTTAGAACCAAAAAGTGAAAATAACACATAGAATAGGGATGAGAGGAATCAATGAGTTTGTAGATAAATAAGTAGAGATTATCTACTCTGCATAACAGAAAGGAAAAGAACTAGAAAAAAATTAAAATGAACAGAGACTCAAGAACCTATGAGAGAATATCAGAAAGAGGAAAGTTTTACATTAAGTAGAAAAAAATACTATGAAAAATTTCTTACATTTTGATGGAAGACACAAGAATATTCAAAATTCTCAAACCCCAAACAAAATAAACTCAAAGAAATCCTCTTCAAAATACATCATTAAACTTCTGAAAAACAGGAACTAGAAAAAAATACTGTGACCAGAGAAAATCAACATATATCACTTAGAAGAACAATGATTTAAATGGTTATTTCTCATCAGAAATCAAGGCACATAGGATGAAGTGAAACATTTTTAAAATGTCAAGACAGAAAAACCATCAATTTCTGTATCCAGTGAAAATCTCTTTGAAGAATAAAGGTGAATTAAGGATGTTCTCAAATGAAGGAAAACCAGGAGACTTCATCACCAGCTGCTCTAAAAGAAATGCTGAAAGAAGTACTTTAGATGAAGGATTGAAAAAGGATAAATAAAACTGTCCCTATTCACAGACTAAATGACTACCTACATAGAAAATCCATGGACTCTATACAAAACCTCCTAAAGTGAGTTTAGAAGGGGACATATTTTTAAAGATATTATTAAGAGAATGATTGGGTACTAGTTGATAAAATTAAGTTGGATAAGGAATGAAGAATTGAAAAGAAAATATGCCCCACAGGGCAGAAATTTTGATTATCTTCCTCACCACTACCACTTTATTCCCAGTTTTTAGAACAATAACTGCTTGAATTAAGAGTCTGGTGAGTTCAATGAGCAAAGTAGGAGTGATTGAAAACCTAAGCTTGAAGACTCCAGGAAATAGTGAGATGTTCGAAGTACTGAATTCAGAAGACACATAGTTTTAATTGATAACAAGTTCTAGAATATGACTATGGGAAAGACTTGCTGAGAAAAATCTTTGGAGTTGAGAAAGTCATAGAACTAAGAAGTCAGAGTGTTGGTTGAATATACAATGTTGATAATAGCAGGGATGGTGGTAAGAGTTAAATTGGAAGGGACAACAATGAATCAGGTATTAATATCCTCAGTGATTGAGATCAAGTAGGCCAGTCCATAGATAATACAGAATAAGAGAAGTTGAGGGGAAAAAAAAGCAATAATGAATGCAATGATGGGTCCAATACTAAATCTTGGGCCTGAAATATATAGGTATGTTGAACATAAGCAATTTCCATTCAGAATGAAGGGGAACTACCAACTTCAGATGAGTCCAGTTTCATTTAAAACTAGGAGACAGAGGAAATGCTCAGAGAAGAGTATAAAATATAGCAAAATATATCACTGAAGCATTGGAGGTGAGGGGAAAGGGCTAAAAATATTAAAAGAGAAATTAGAGAATATAATGAGGATTAGCAGAACATTATAACTTATGATGGATTGGTGGGGGTGTACCTTTTGGACACTGGCTAAAGGAATAAGCGATATAGTTGATTTAGTCTTAAAAGACTTTAGGGGCAACTTAAAGTGCTCTTCAATAAGGGGAATGGTTAAATAAATTAAAGAGACTTTCCATCATTTAAACCACAAGAAGAGAGTGTTGGTAGATATGAAAGGAAGGAAACTACTGAAATCACAGAAGATCACAAAAAGGGAATGGAATAAGGATCTCTGGCACATGGTGAACTTTTCATCCAGTGCAGCCTCTGAAATGGACCACGAAATCAATTTATCTCCAGGGTATTCCTGTATACCATGTCAGACTGGCCCTTTCTTAAGTTGGTAGCATGGACCCAAGTCAAATCAGCAGAGGCTATATCCTCCCTTAGGTTTTGTCTCTGTATCTTAGAGATGAACAAAACTGGACAGAGAGCTCTAGAGGAATGAAATAATGTAACTACAGCCCATTTTAGCATGGGACTGGAAGAGTAGACCAAAAAAGCCTTTTGTTTATCACTTGGCCATAATGAAGTAATTAAAGTCAGCCTGTTCCTAGGAAATGTTTGAGTACTGGCTTTGTGAGGTATAGAGGCACATAATTAATGCCTGTGGCTAAAACATAGTCAAAATGTAGTATATATGAACAATGGAGTATTATTAAACCATAAAGAATGTCGCTTATAGAAAGATGGTTGGAACAGGAGATCATCATGCTAAGCAAAGTAAGCCAGACTCACAAAGACAAATATCACATTTTTCTCTACTATGCAGAATCTAGATCTTAAAAAAACAGCATAAATTTAAAAAAGAGAATCTTTGGTTGGGGGAACCAGTGAGAGAGCAAAAGGAGAGGATGTTAGCAGAGGAACACGACCAAAGTACATATATGCATTATGAAAATAGAATAATGAAAGTAATTAAAAATTGTAAAAAAAAATAAAAGGGGGAATAAAAAGACTAACCGGGGATGAATATAATTGAAGTACATTATTGCATATAGAGAAATACCACAGTGAAATCACTGTACAATTAATATATGCTAATTTAAAAAAATTTTTAAACATAGTCTGGATGTTTCAAAGGATGGTATTTTATGCATATGGATAAACAGTGTGATAGTGTGTCCCTTTAAATTATTAAAACAGCAAGTAGCCCTAGCAGGGTTAGACCACTTTTATAGCCTTATATCACATACTGCCTGATTGTGTCTGATCACAGAACACAATCTGATAATAAAAAAAAACACTACTCTTTCTTGATATTTATTAGCAAGTATCAGTCATCTTAGGAATTCATTTTTATTTTGCTTTATGGCATGTATACTTCTTTTGTTAAACTGAACAGTTAGGGCTGGTGGAGAGGCAAAACTGGTAGAACACCTGCCTAATAAGCATGAGACTCTGAGTTCAAACCCCAACTGCCAAAAAAACCCAAAACCCTGAATGATTGTCAAGCTTTTCTATGTAAAATAATCTTTGCTATTTTTTGCATTTTAGTCTGCCAAATTACACCTTTTCTGATAGCAAAAGTTCTGGCAATACAGTTATTGAATAAGATCAGCTATGAGGTACAAGTGACATCTGAGACCTGCTTACCACAAACTTCCTGCTTTTTCTTCCACTGTGTAGTTCATGATTGAATATGGCTTCTAGAGAAACAGAATTTCTATGATAATAGTAGGACCATAAAGATAAGCATTTCTCCTTTAAGAAAGATTTATAATTTGTACAGATTAATTGGTTAGAAGAAAAAAATAGCCTGGTTACAACTAATCATACTGTACCTCTTAAATAAAATATAGTTGGAAACAGCAACCATTTCCTTCTTTGACAATTGCTTTCATTAGACTTTTTTGTCTTGATGGAAAGACTGAAGATACTCTCTTCTGGAATGTCAGAGGACCTTGGGTTAAAAATGACTTGGCTCTGCCACTACATGGTCCATGACTCCAGTTCAGTTATTCCCTTCTGGACCTCAGTTTCCTGATTTATAAAATAAGAAAATTATTCCAAATTATGTTGAAGACCTGGAGAGACATGACTGGTTTTGGCCAATCAGATATGAGAAGTATTGTGTCACATCCAGGCTATGAAAATCCTACATATAATTCTTTGGTCTCTCTGCCCAGCCAAGACAATAGAGAAGCCCACATGTTCCAGGTGAGGAAGCCACTGTCAGCCTGAACCTGCTTTGCAATACATGATATCGTTAATGTTATCATGATTACTCTTCCCACTCACAGTCTCTCCTCATAAGTTAGAAAGCACTGTTGGAGGTCAGCAGAAGAGAGATGTTACTGACAGGCAGCAGGGGCCTTGTTCTTGAAGCCCTTCAGGTGTTTTCCTTCCCTTTAAGTGCCCCCCTCTAAGGAGGCCTTTTGCACATGATGTGACCTGTGATCTGACTCTTGTTCTGAGTAGCCTACCTCTACTGGACTTCTTGGATTCAAATTTTCTAGTAGTCTGACCCTTTTCTGTCTGGGTTGTGTTTTATAGGTATGAGGCGTCTCTGTTGGATTTGGTCCAGTCTCTGAGCCCAAACTCTGCTCCCAAACCTCACCCCCATCCCTCTAGAGAAGTTGGTGCCTGGAACCGCAGTGCTTTCCGACACAGTCCTCAAAAATCAACCTGGAAGAAGATGGGGACTTGTACAACTCCTGAAGACTTGGAGGAGCATCAGATTCTGGAAGATATATTTTTCATTTAACTCTAAAACACATGCTAAAAAATTTTTCATGGGAAATTTATGGGTTTCTTCGCATACTGATATAGGGTGTTAAATTATTTGATTACAAAGTAATTGTGTCTCTCCTTTCACAAGGACCTACCTTACTGGTATCCTATTATGTATTTAATATAGAAATCTCTCTAACAGTCCTATCAATCCAGGGTGGTTTTGATCAGATCAATCAGTAGATAACACACTAAAGGGAGATGGACTGAGAGACAGTTATCTTTTCTATACTAAAGGTTAATAACCTAGGCTACATGCAGACACCATAGTATATTCAGTATCATTTCAAGAGTGTTTCCTTCTCAATATTCTGCTATAAAAGGTTGGCTCTCTTTCAAGGAAAACCTTTTCTATGAAAGATTCTTCAAATAGACTATTTGGGTATAAGCAATTTCAGAAAGACTTTTACCTTCTTCATCCTGTTCTCTTACCACTACCTTTAAGTATTGGTTGTTGGTGCTCCTCCTTTACCAGCAATACGGGGCACCATTTGTGAATCAGTTGTAGTAATTAACAGCCTGGTGGCTGCCCATGCCACAACCAAGATGCTTAATGGGCTAGAGGGAAGAATCCAACCCACCCTTGGAAATAAGCAACATTAAATCACATATGGGAATGATTGTCCTATCCCATATGGGAAAATCCAGTAGAAACACAATGTTTCTACTAGTTTTCCAGGATGAAGAAAAGTAAACTCTAGATATTTCTTTTTGACCCAAGTATCAGGTTGGTTCACCCTTCCAACACATGTGCTCTTAGGAATTTCCCATGGTTGTATTTTAGGAAGATGTCACTGAAGGGAGCATGGTACCCAGAAGCTGCAGGCTAATAGGCTTCTTTTGGCCCTCCTGCTCCCTCCATGAGGATGAAAGGTCCTGGGTTGCACAGACCCTGCATGGTCGCAGTCCAGGAAAGCCATGTTAAACAAAGCCTCCTTGTCTAAGACCCAAATGTCATTGTCTCTTCAGGCTGAGCCTAGTTCTGCTGCTTCTATCCAGTCTTCCTTCGCTTTGGTCTTTTTCTTTAGAGGAGAAAGTTGACCCTGTGAGAATAGCTAAGTCAGTCTCACCCCATTTCAAAAAGCCTTTGGAATATGGAACTTTCTTTGGTGTGGCTGAAATAGTGGGTGGCAAACAGAGTCTTCAGCCATTTTCTCAGAGTTAGGTTTCTAGAACCATCTTTTCCCTACCCCATGTGTGACATTATCAGCTTAAATGTACCCAACTCCTTTAGATCAGCCATAATAAAAGTCACCTGTTCTGGACACCAGTGTCATTACTGCCCTCTGGAGTGAGGATTTACAAGGATCAATAAGAATTATAGTTTCTTTAAGAAGCATCTTTGCTTTTAAAAGAATCATAATAAACACCTTAAAAATAAAAGATTTTTTAGGTCACATGCCAGTAAATGGAGTTTAATTGCTTCTTTCCCTCCCATATGGGCAGTTAAGGAGAAGAAAAAATGGATTTTTAGTAGAACATCAATCAACACAATTTTCATGTGCAGCACTTCCCCACCAGTTGCCTGTCTCTATACTGTAGACATTTTGTTGGTGTTGGAGTGAAAGCAGCAGGATGTGAATTTGTATATATTGTAGTGTCATTATTAATTGAATAATATATTAACATTTTAATCAGCATTAAAGTTACTTTGAGATATATGTGTTGTTATAGAGCCTCAAGGCTGTTGTAGAGCCTAGGGCTTAACCTAATTGCACACTATCCCGGTAAAAAAGGGATTCTGGCACAAAGGACTCTGCCCTTCCCCTATAATTATCCCAGCAGTGGCTGGTTGGGATTTTCTTGCCCAGCCTTTGGATGTTTCCCTGAAGCAAGACTGGACACACATTGAGGGTGCTGCAGGCAGTGCTGTAATATTACCTATCACCCTATGAGAGTAAAAAAATAATCAGTGTTTGTCAAATGGAAAAGGGATAGAGTATGTCCACTGAAACTCTCTGAGAAAAGCCCAAAGTGCTTGATTTAGAAAACCAAGGTTAATCAAGGGAAAGTTTTGGCTGATGTCACCCTTCCAGGAGGCACACTTATGTTGATCCCCATGGTGAGAACTTACCCAGAGGCACCCCAGATGTCATGAGGAGGGAGGAGCTCTCTTCACTTGGCCCTGCTTCTAATACCAGGTTCATCTTGGAGATTAGCTGACCAGAGACTGCGGATAGGGGCGAAGCCTAGAGGAACAGATCTGGGTATACTCTGCTAAGGGAGGCAGAGACTCTGGCAGATTCCTCCCAGTTCACATTTTATCCTCAGCTCACTGTGTGCTATTGTTTGATGTAAACAAATGCCTTGTTTTCATTTTATTTTGTTTTTGTGAGTAAAGCAGGAGAATTTATTGAGATAGAAATGTAGCAAAGAGTAGAGCTCCCAGAGCTGAAGTGGGGGGGCCCAAGAGAGGGTGCCAGAGAAGTGACAAGGTCTGAGGTTTTTATCCATTTTCTCCAGGGCATTGCTCAACCTCTATGCTAATTAGTTGTACAGAAAGCAACATTCTGGTTCATGTGTCTGCAGTGTTCTGATTGGTCATGTCCTAATCCTTACATTATCCTTACTCTGGCCCATCCTGCTTTTCCTTCTTTCTATCCTTTAAGATCACAGGGAGGTCATAATGGAGGTGTCCAGGCGCCCTTCTCTCTCATTTCCCCCTCTGAAGAAGTAATCCTAACTGCTGTTAGAGAAACTGCTCTTTGACTGATTAAAGCTAAAAAGGGGTGTTGATAGGGGACAGCAGTAAGGGCCTTTTTACAGAAGTCTATCTAAGGGACCCTAATATATGGAGGGCTTTATTTGAGGCTCCCATTTGTTTTTATCTTAAACTTAAGAGGTGACAAGAGAAATTTACTTGTCAGGAAATTTAATTGATGGGTAGCCAGGACCAGGACCAGGAGACATCCAGGTATTTTTTTCTAATAGAGAAATCAAGCAGAAATTAGTGAAAACCATCCTTTAAAGTAAATGGTTTATATATGTATATATGGGTACTCTCTTTGAGATGTTAGCAAGCTTCTAGGCTTCTTGAATGAGTGGAGAATAATCATATCTAACAAAGGGAAGTTCTAAAGCACACCTATTATTCATATAATTAGAGTGGGCCAAGATGACCCCTCCCTGCTTTAGCAGCCATTTTAGCCCCTCAGATCCATTATCTTTGACCGTATGTATTCCCCCAGCTCTGTAGTATAAGAATTGGAGCCACCATTCTGAATCCTATTCCCGTTTCCTGCATGGAGGTTAGGAAATAGCTCTTTTTTCCATCTTCCCCACTTTCATCCTCTTATACTACATTTCTTTCCTAATAAACTTTATTCTTCTCTTACTATATTTTTGCATCATGCTTGAATTCATCTGCAGGACACAAGAACTGAGGTATTTATCAGCACTATTTTTCCAGTAACATACTGGCACAGGTTAAGGTATTTAGCTGCTTGAATTTTAAAATGTCACACCCTTTTTTTTTTCCCTTTAGTCTATACCAAAGAGTCAATTCCTGAATGCCTGTGCTCAGGCAGGCATTTAAACCTGATTGAGATAAAATAACCAGTTTAAAGTGACAACGGTTTTTACATATTAGCCTTATAATAGTAATTTAAGAACCATTCTACAGATGTATGTATATATACACAGGCACACACACATAAAAATTTTCAGGCATGCCAAAACTGAAGCAACATAAAATGAAAAAAAAAAACAACAACAAAAAAAACCACTGAAATTCAGCCATTGTAATTGGTCAGTTTTCTGGAATTCCAGAGGCAAAAGAAGCTTTTTGCCCAATGCTTGACAGACTGATGCCCACATTTACGTAATTATATTAATTTAGAGTACTCATAAGCAATTTAGCCATGAATTAGTTATAATCCTCCCTAGGGGTAACAAGATGGTGGAAGCCATGCATTTGCCATCCACCACTGAAGGAAACATGGTGGCCCCATCATAGGGATGAAATTTTCTGCAACCACATGTTTTTTTTTCAAAGGGCATTTAGAACATAAAGCCATGGTATATACAACATAAACACACAAAACAAACATCAAACACAGAGCAAACAAGTAGGAAATTTTCTTTTTTCCTGTTGAGCCTCCAGAAGTCCTCAGAAGTTGAAAGTCCCTTCTATGTGCCTGTCTCCATAGCTGCTTAATAAGAAAGAAATGTCATACCACTTAAGGACAGGAGACATGGCCCTGCCTGGTTGGCCGTAAGTGCTGGAATATGCAGGTGAGAGCATGAGTGTCTGAAACACCTGGTTCTGAGATCATACTCATGGATTCAATTAAAACAGCCAAAGAACCTGTCTTGCCTCCTTGCCCCAAGCTAGCCTGGCTCCTCCATTGGATCAAAGAGACTTTGTAGTTGCCCCTCAAAGGCAAAAGTGGAAAGAGCAGAAATATCATTAAACCTGCTCTCTAGCTGAAAATGAAATAAAATTTGCCTCAGTTGTCATAAGATTGCCCTTGAGTGTAGGAACAAACCTGGAGATGAATGGCATCCTCAGGATAAATGAGCTGGCAGTTACAGAACCAGTTGCATAGATTAGTAACCAGTTTTATTTGTTTGTTTTTTGGTGGTACTAGGGTTTGAACTCAGGGCCTTGCACTTGCCAGGCAGATACTCTACCACTTGAGCCATACTCCCAGCCCTAGTTCCATGTTTGTTTGTTTTTGAAGTTGCTATTTAAGCAACAGTAACTCAGCCCTTTGTTTTCCACTGCTCCATTCAAAATGGGGCCTTCTACCCTCTCAGGCTTCAGCTTCATAGCTTCATCCCTGTCATCTGTACCACATATACTCAGAACTGTGTAAGCACTTTGCCTTCATCCATTTGTGCTGCTACAACAAAACCTGAAGCTGTATCATTTATAAAGAACAAATATCTGTTTCTCATAGCTCTCTAGGCTGCGAGATCTAGAATCAAGTTACTAGCAAGTTTGGTTGCCTGTGTGGACTGTGTCCTCCAGAG